AAAAAAAAAAAAAAAAAAAACCACATCGAATTTTTAATGGGAAGAAAAGTAACAGAAAAAGTGAGGCGGGGAGGAGAGTGTGTTCGGTGCCGTGCGGCCGTGGCATGAGAAGTGCAGCCAGCCAGGGCCGGACTCCACGCTTAGGGGAGGGTAAGCGCTGGGCACACTGGCTGAGGGTGCCTCGGGCCTGGGAGGAGGTGGTGCTGCAGGCCCAGGCCGAGGCCAGACCCAGGGATGCCCAGGCTCCTGCTGGCTGCACCCTGCCCGAGGCCAGGCGCTGCAGGGTCCTTCCGTGGAAGGGACGGCCTGGGGGAACACGGGCACCCATGCTTACACGGAAGATTCGGCAGGTCCCTGGGTCTGGTGCAGAGATGCATTTATTTCCAGTATATTTTCACATAACAAAATCCCAACAAGGCCTTGAGGGGCCACACCGCCGGGAGGGGGGTGGATGGCAGGAAGCGGGGCAGGCCTGCCAGGGGGCACTTGGTCTACATCAGCACAGCCAAACACAGCTGTGAGGCTGGGGAAGGGGAGCCCCTTGGCAGGAAATCGGTGGGGGGCAGGACCTGAAGGCCCAAAGCATGGACATGGGACCTGTGGGTGCTCCATCCTGGCTGCCATCCCCCCGAAACCACAGCCGCCTCCGGGCACCCAGCAGCATTCCACACCAACAAGGGGACCGGCCCACGGCTTGGGAGGCCCAGGGCAGCGGTGTCCCACGGCAACAGTGTCCCGGGGTGAACGGTGGTAAGGGGCAGCAGCCGGGAGTGTCCCCAAAGTCGTTGCCAGAGAGTGCAGGAAATGATGAAGGAAAAGTTTTTTTTGGCCCAACCATTATGAACGGTGCTGTGGAAATACCCTGTGGAGGGTGGAGGCATTTCTGGGGGAGTCGGGGGGACACGGGGAGAAGACAATCAAATCTTGGCTGCTGCCAGACCCCTCCATAAGGCACAGATTTGACGGGTCCCCTCTCCTCATAAGAGGCCACCCCAGGCCAGGCGCGGTGGCTCACACTTATTATTCCAACACTTTGGGAAGCAGAGGTGTGCGGGTCACCTCAGGTCAGGAGTGTGACCACCATGGCGAAACCCCGGCTCTACCGAAAACACAAAAATTAGCCGGGGGTGGTGGCGCACCCCTGTAACCCCAGCTACTCCGGAGATGAGGCAGGAGGACCACTCCCACCTGGGAGGCGGAGGCTGCAGTGAGCCGAGATCGTGCCACTGCACTCCAGCCAGGACAAGAGTGAGACTCCCTCTCACAAGAGAAAAAAAAAAAAGGCCGCTCCTGCAGGGTTGGGGCTGCTGGGAAGGCGGCCCTCTGCAGTTTGCTGGCTTTGGGGAGTGGCCGTGCTCCCGGCTTGGCTTGGGGGTGCGGACAAAGGGCTTGCCCGAGGTCCCTGGTTCAGGGGCAGGCAGGGTGGCCCGAGGCTACCCTGGACCAGAAGCTGCCCAGGTACGGGGAGTGTGGGGAGGGGTGAGACTGGAGCGCAGGGATCGGGGGATGCTGGCACGGCCCTCCTTCGCTGTGGGGACCGGGAGCTGCCCGCGAGGCCTCTTCTTGGTTTGGGCCAAGGGCGTCCGCTCTGGTGACGGGTGGGTGGCTCGTGCAACACAGTCCCCCGTAAGACCTCCTCCAGCCTCGGCACCAGCAGCTCCGGGAGAGTGGGAGGGCAGCCAGCCCGCTGCCATCTGTCCCCTGGAGTCTGGCTGCTCAGGCCTGGAGACCTGAAGACAAGGCCGTGGTGGTCATGCAGCAGACCGCAAGGTGACCACACGATGCCGGGAGCAAGAGGGTGTCCTGTGGACGGCAGAGGCCGGAGGCCGCTGGGCAGTGCTTGTGAGAAACTCCGCTCTCGGATGAGACGAACATGGGTTCTGTGGTCCCGGCAGGAGGGGCGTGGTCCATGGCCACCATTGGCTTCCACCCTCCCGGAGAGGAGGACAGGCCCCAAGCACTCCCAGCCTTTGGGAGCGAGGGCAGTGGCAGGAGTGAAGGGGAGGAGGTGGTGGCAGTGGCAACTCACCCTAAGGCCACTGGCCGCCGCCCGGGTAGCTGGGCACAGTGGGGTACTCGGGCAGGCTGCTGCCTGAGAAGTTATTGTACTGGGCCTCCCTTGATGGTGGGTTCCGCCACGTGCCTGTGCTCCACTCCGTCTGTGCCTTCTGGAAGCTTCCACCAGCTCCTCGGTAGATCCTGTGCACCTGCAGAGACGGAGGGCAGGGAGGCAGAGAACAGAAACTGAGCACGGGGCTCATGCCTCTAATCCCAGCACTTTGAGAGCCCGAGGCGGGCAGACTGCCTGAGTTCCTGAGTTCAAGACCAGCCTGAAACCTGATCTCTATTAAGATACAAAAAATCAGCTGGGCGTGGTGGTGCGCACTTGTCACCTCAGCTCCTCAGGAGGCTGAGGTGGGAGAATCGCTTGAACCTTGGAGGTGGAAGCTGCAATGAGCCAAGGCTGTGCCACCACACGCCAGCCTGGGTGACGGAGTGAGACTATCTCCAAAACAAACAAACATAATTGGTGTTTGGCTGTAACTGGACATTTCTGTTATCGGCCCAGCTGAACACCTGTGCGGTCTCTGATGGACCCTGCGACCGCGAACCTGCACGGCCCCGCCCTCACGGACAAGAGGCTCCAGCCCCGGCTGCTCCTGCACATGGGGTTCACAGGCAGCCCCTGCCTCCCTCTGGGGTATGCAATCCCGGCATGAGGGAGCACGGGCCTGGCCCCACAGGAACCCGGGCGCTGGGAGTGTCCCCCAGCTCACCGCTGCGGGTGAAGTGCGTCCTGCATGACACCACGAGGAGAGGGCCCAGCTCCCCGACATTCACCATCTGGGACAGCCAGGTGACGAGTTCATGGAGAAGGCATAAGGGGTGAACGTCCCAAAGCTGAGGACTCACCTTCATGATGGCGATGGCCATCATGGCCGCCGACACGGAGAACATGATGGCTGGAAGCAGCATGACCACAGAAGCGCCCACACTGGTCTCGAAGAACCCAATCGCTGACAGCCAGCCACTGCAAGAGACAAGAGTGTGTGGGTGCCTATGCACATACACCAGATGGGGGCCCATGGTCCTGCCTATGTAAATAGCTCTGACCAATCAAGGAGTGGACAGCTCATACAGCGACCACTGAGTCGCCAACAAACACAAAGTGACGCTGAGAGCCACCAACTTCGACGTGTGAACAAGGCTTATTCCACCACGATCTCAGCAGCAAGCGGCCCGTGCAGGGGGAAGGAGAGACCAGGGCTTCCCCATTCGTTTCCCGCGGTCAGTCCAGCGGACACCAGCCATGGAAGGACTCAAAAGCTCATTCCCATTGTCCTATAGTGCCTGTTGCTAAGAACCTCCCCTACAGCACCGGCTTCTAATGAGAAACTGCTGAAATCCCACCAGATGGGGCACTGAGGAGCCACTAAAAACAGGAGGGAGGCCGGTGCTGGGGTCACGCCTGCCTCTAATCCCAGCACTTTGGGAGGCCAAGGTGGACGGGTCACCTGAGGTCAGGAGATCGAAACTAGCCTGGCCATGCTAAAACCCCGTTTTTTTTTTGTTTGTTTGTTTTGTTTTTTTTTAATTCCGTGTATGTGTGTATAAAATGCCAGTTAAGAATACCAGCTTCGGCTGGGCGCCGTGGCTCACACCTGTAATCCCAGCACTTTGGGAGGCCAAGGTGGACGGGTCACCTGAGGTCAGGAGATCGAAACTAGCCTGGCCATGCTAAAACCCCGTTTTTTTTTTGTTTGTTTGTTTTGTTTTTTTTTAATTCCGTGTATGTGTGTATAAAATGCCAGTTAAGAATACCAGCTTCGGCTGGGCGCCGTGGCTCACACCTGTAATCCCAGCACTTTGGGAGGTCGAGGCAGGTGGATCACTTGAGGCCAGGAGCTGGAGACCAGGCTGGCCACCATGGTGAGACCCCGTCTCTACTAAAAATACAAAAATTAGCCAGGCATGGGGCACATGCCCATAATCCCAGCTGCTGGGGAGGCTGAGGCAGGACAATCACTTGAACCCGGGAGGCGGAGGCTGCAGTGAGCCGAAATCACACCATTACACTACAGCCTGGGCAACAGAGCAAGACTCTTGTCTCAAAATAAAAGAAAAAAACACACACACAAAAGAAAGCACTGCTTTGCTCAGCCTCCAGCGGGACATGGCGAAGGCTGGCCCACCTGGGTCCCTACGCTCAGGGCCAGCTTCTGGGCATGCACTTGCCTCTGAGACCTGGGAGGTAGAAAGCACAGTCATCTTGAGATTTTTGTCTAAATAGGTGATAAAACCACAGGGTTTAAAATTCAGGGAACTGCCGGTCGCGGTGGCTCACGCCTGTAATCCTAGCACTTTGGGAGGCCGAGGTGGGTGGATCACCTGAGGTCAGGAGTTCAAGACCAGCCTGGCCATCATGGTGAAACCCCATGTTTAAAAAAATAAAATAAAATAATTTTAAAAAATAAAACAAAATTCAGGGAGCTGAAAGACACGCCACCCTGTCTCTCCCAGCACACGGCAACCGGCAGGACACACACGCTCCGGAGGTGTCCGGGGAGCTTATGCAGACAGGTCTGTGTACCCACTGTGTGACACGCACGCACACGCCAGGCAGTGAGCCCAGCGCTGCTGCCTGCAAGATCCCGGCCCGCCCCAGGCTGGCGAGCTCGGCGCTCCACAGCGGGCAGCACAGGCTGCATGGGCTTTGGGTCATGCCTTTCTCTCTCTCTTTTTTTTTTAAGACGGAGTTTTGCTCGTCGCCCAGGCTGGAGTGCAATGACACGATCTCGGCTCACTGCAACCTCCACCTCCTGGGTTCAAGGGATTCTCCTGCCTCAGCCTCCCAAGTAGCTGGGATTACGGGCACGCGCCACCACGCCTGGCTAACTTTGTACTTTTAGTAGAGATGGGGTTTCTCCATGTTGGTCAGGCTGGTCTCAAACTTCCGAACTCAGGTGATCCAACTGCCTCAGCCTCGCAAACTGCTGGGATGACAGGCGTGAGCGACCGCACCCGGCCTCTTTTGTTTTTGGAGAGACAGGGTCTCCCTGTGTTGACCAGACTGGTCTGAACTCCCGGCCTCAAGCAGTGATCCTCCTGCCTTGGCCTCCCAAAGCGCTGGGACTACAGGCGTCAGCCACTGTGCCTGGCCTCTTTCCTTTTCCAAAAAAATCGACCTGTTTGGGGATTTTAGATTTACGCAAAGCGGCAAACGCACGTGGGGCTGGCTCCTGCTTCCCCGCCAGCTTCCCGCTCGCCAGTGTCTCCAGCCCCACCTGCAAGTGTCAGGACTAGGGAGGCGCCGGGCAAAACGTCACCCAGGCTGCGCGCTCTGCTCAGAGGCCGCAGCGCCTGCCGACCTCTGCTTCCTGGCAGGGTCCACCAGGGCCCCTTCTGCACCAGGTCCTCTGTGCACGTGTGGCCCCGACTGTCTACGCAGCTAGGCCGTGCTGGGGGTCGTTTATCTGGAGGCTCCAGACCTGGCTCATGGCCCTGGGGGTGCGTCACCCCTGGGGAGGGGGCACTGGAGAAGCCACCCGAGGCAGGGGGTGTGGCTGTCCCCTCGCGCCCCACAGCAGCGCACTGAGTGTGGGACCTCGTTAAGCCAACAGTGGACGTGAGGTCGCCGCACACGGTGATTTGATTTCTCCCATTGTGAGCAGGCGGGCTCTCCTCTAAGACCACTCAGTTTCTTTCCTGAGAGCATCCACCTTCTGTCCAACTCGGGCAGGGACTGCAGGCTCCAGCCTCTCCCGTGACCTGCGGGAGATGACCCCTGACACCCACGACGGGAGCCGAGTTGCTGCTGCTGCACCTGCATGAGGGCCAAGGGCCGAGGGGGCAGGGAGGCCTCTGAGGGTCACATGGGTGCTCACCGCATGCCGGGACCTCAGGACCACCCAGCCTGGGCACAGGCCCGCCACCCGGCTTAGTCTGGGGAACTTGGGGAGGCAGGAGGCACCGGCACCCAGGGCAGGGCCAGTGTGAGCCGAGCCGGCACTGGGGAGCTCAGGGGGACTTGGAGGATGCCGGGCAGGGCCCTGACCTGCAGCATGGCCTCTGGAGATGGGAACGCACCCCACAGGCTGGCAGAGCTGGGAGCCCTGGGGACATCCTGATTATGACCCTGACTCAGATTCCTGGGGCAGCACCACTCAGGCTCTTGGGGTGGCGGGTAATAGCCTCAGTGGCCCAGCCGGTGCAGGAGAGACGCCTGCAGGTCGAGGGCCCCTGAAGGGAGAGGAGACACCTTCTCCGGGTTCTGATTTGTGCAGCGGCGAGAGAGGGCTGCGGTCCCATGGGGCAGGCGCCCCCAAACAGCAGCTCGCTAACGGGAGCCCAGGAAACCGAAGGCGCCCGCGGCTCTGTGATCAGCGTCACCCGGGAGGAGCTCCCACCTCACTATGGACCAGGGAGTCACGCTGGGAATGAGGGCGGGGGCAGCCACTCTTACCAACTGTGGATTCCAAATCATTCCAAAACAAAAAGCCTATTTAAAAGGCCAGCAATTTAAGACGCACACATGAACGCTTCTGGGCGCCTGGCAGAACTCAGAGAACTACCGTCACTGTATTCTCTACGCTGACGTCAGCGTCTCAGGCGTGACAACAGCCCAGGCTGTGAGTGCGTTTTTACGTATTTTTCGCGTCTTCCTCCTCAGTGCTCCCAGACCCTGGACGGGGGCAAGATCGAAACATGGGAGGCAAGCCTGGCTGGGCGCCGGTGAGGATGCGGGCACTGTGGGGCAGGCGTGGAGCCCTCCCTGGGAGAGCAGCAGCAGGCTCCTGCGGCCGCCGGGGTTCCCAGCAGGCCCATGACCCTGCAGCAGAGCGACGTCACATCCTCCACGCCCGTCAGGGAGAGGCTTACCACGCGCCCCAGCCCGAGAAGCCGATCGCTTGGATGACGGTCAGGACAAACTGGGCTCCGAAGACGAAGAAGAACGCCATGAAGTTAAAGGAGCTGTCGGCTCTGGGGAGGGACAGAAAACACAATGGTTACCGCGGCCCTGGCTTCGCCCAGACGCACCCGCAGAGGAACGTGCAGGCCAGAGACGGCAAGAACGGAGGCTCTATTTTATTCCTTTGTTTGTTGTTTTGTTTAGTCTGGTTTAAAGACGGGGTTTCACCGTATTGGTCAGGCTGGTCTCAAACTGCTAACCTCCTAATCCGCCCACCTCAGCCTTCCAAAGTGCTGGGATTACAGGCGTGAGCCACCGCGCCTGGCTCCTCTGTTTCTTTTTTTTTCTGTGCAGAAAGAGTCTCACTCCATCACCCAGGGTGGAGTGCGGTGTTGAGATCTCGGCTCACTGCAACTTCCGCTGGGATTACAGGCGCCCGCCACCACACCTGCCTGATTTTTGTATTTTTAGTAGAGACGAGGTTTCGCCACGTTGGCCAGGCTAGTCTTGAACTGCTGACCTCAGGTGATCCCCCCACCTCGGCCTCCCAAAGTGCTGGGATGCTAGAAGGACAAGCGTGAGCCTGGCATTTTTTTTTTTGAGATAGAGTTTCACGCTCATCTCCCAGGCTGGAGTGCAGTGGTGCGATCTCGGCTCACCGCAAACCCCCCCTCCAGGATTCAAGTGATTCTCCTGCCGCAGCCTCCCGAGTAGCTGGGATTACAGGTGCCTGCCACCATGCCTGGTTAATTTTTTTATTTTTAGTAGAGATGGGGTTTCACCACGTTGACCAGGCTGCTCTCAAACTCCTGACCTTGTGAAACCCACGCCACGGCCTCCTAAAGTGCTGGGATTACAGGTGTGAGCCGCCGCACCCAGCCAAAATTACTAAAAAGCAAAACAAAACAGGCAGTAGTTGGTTCTGGCTTGTGGGCCGTCGTTTGCCACCCTGGATGTGAACCGCCCTTCACACTGGGCAGAGAAGGGGCAGGTCCTGACAGCTGGGCCGGGACCGGGGTGTGGATTGGACCAGTTCCCTCCGCGCGTGGCAGCCCAGCAGCTCTGCTCACCGGAAGGCTTTGTAGACGGGCCGGAACCAGCACACGTAGCTGCAGGGCGTGAACAGGAGCAGCCACACGATGGCCAGGCCGAAGTTGGACGCCGGGCCTCCGGCGATCAGCCAGGCTAGGCAGGCGATGAGGTTGACGCCAAGGGTGGCGCAGTAAACTGCGAGAGAGCGCGAGGAAGGGCGAGTCAGGTGCGGGAGGGCGCGGCCGCGGGAAGGCACGCTGCTCAGCTACGGGACTCTGGCATCTGCTGTCCGCCTCCCCAGCCTGGTGACCCACGTCGAGGATGGACACCGGGGCCCGAGGCCTGCACAGCGGCCTCGGTCACCACCGGGCCCAGAGACCCCGCCAGGCTGTCCCTGCCCGAATGGCGCTCCCTCCCTACCCCTCTCCCCCGGGCAGCCCTGCCTCGGCCTCCCGCCCTGCACCGCTCACACATCCACAGCCGGTAGATCCGCTTCACCAGGACCTGGTGCTCCACTGGGATCTCGTCGGAGAAGTTCTGGTAGAAGCAGGGCTTCACGGGGATGAACCCGGGCAGCGGCGGGAAGTTGTTCTCCTTTTCTGTCGGGACAGAGAACCCAGACACAATGGGATTTTGTCTCTCTCTTTTTTTTTTTTAAGACAGAGGGGCCGGGCGCGGTGGCTCACGTCTGTAATCCAAGCACTTTGGAGGCCAAGGCGGGCGGATCACCTGAGGTCGGGAGTTCAAGACCAGCCTGACCAACATGGTGAAACCCTGTCTTTAAAAAAAATAAAAAATAAGAAGAGTCTTGCTCTGTCACCCAGGCTGGAGTGCAATGGCCCGATCTTGGCTCACTGCAACCTCCACTTCCCAAGTTTAGGCAATTCTCTGCCTCAGCTCCTGAGCAGCTGTGACTACAGGGGTCCACCACCATGCCCAGGTCATTTTTGTCTTTTTAGCAGACACAGGGTTTCACCATCTTGGCCAGACTGGTCGTCTTCTTCTTTTTTTCTTTTTTTTTCAAGATGGGGTTTCACCGTGTTGGTCAGGCTGATCTTGAACTCCCGACCTCAGGTGATCCGCCCGCCTTGGCCTCCAAAGCGCTTGGATTACAGGCGTGAGGCACCACGCCCGGCTCAGACTGGTCTTGAACTCCTGACCTCATGATCCACCCACCTCAGCCTCCCAAAGTGCTGGGATGACAGGCGTGAGCCACCATGCCTGGCCCCAGATTTTGTCTCTTGAAGGTGGCCCGACCTCGTCCATGAGATGCACGGCTGTGTCGCCTCTCATGGCAGAAGGGACTCTGCAGCTGGGATTGAGAGAAGGACCCTGAGGCAGGAGAGGAGCCAGATGATCTGGGGCCCAGTGTTCTCACAGCAGCCTCACGAGAGGCGGCGGGAGGGTGGGACTCAGAGAGAGCCTGGAAGTGGCTGCACTGGGGCTGTGAAGGAGGATGGGGCCCCGAGCCAAGGAATGCAGGCACCTCTGGACGCTGGGAAAGGTGGGAACCGGATTCTCACCTGGAGCCCCCAGGAGGACCCAGCCCTGTCTACAGCTTGATTTTAGGATTCCTGGTCTCCAAACTGTCAGGTAACAGATTTCCTTGTTTTAAGAAACTAAGTTTATCAAATTGTTTTAAATTTAGGCGCCACCCTTTATGGGGGGTCACGCCCATCTCCGCAGCCCTCCGTGTTTAGCCTGGGTGTGGCCACAGCAGGCTGGGTTTGGCGTCATTCTTTACAGCAGGCAGGGGAGGCCAACAGGCGTGCTCGGTGGGCCAAGTCCACAGGCTGCAGGGAGGTTGTGGCCAGGGGACGCTTCTGTTCCTAGTGGCTGGGGTGACAAAGCGCCACCAACGGGAAGGCTTAGGCAGCAACAACTGCCCGCTGGGGGTTCCACCTGTGATCCCAGCACTCGGGGAAGCCGAGGCAGGAGGGCTGCAGGAGCCCAGGAGCTCCACATCAGCCCGGGCCACCTAGTGAGACCCCAACCCTACAAAAAATACAAAAATGAGCCAGGCGTGGTGCGTGCCTGTGGTCCCAGCTTCTCAGAAGGCTGAGGCGGGAGGATTGCTTGAATCCGGGAGGTTAAGGCCGCAGTGAGCTATGGTCACACTACTGAGCCACACCCTGTCTCAAAACAAAACAAACACGAAAGTAACACAACAGAAACATATCTGCTAACAATCCTGGAGCCAGAAATCGGAGATCAAGGTGTCTTGGGGCCGCACTTCCTCTGGAGGCTCAGCGAAGGAGCTTTCCTGCCTCTCCCAGCTTCTGGGGCTCATGGCCGCATACCTCCCCCCTCTGCTTCCATCTCCATGACCCCTCCTGTCTCTTCATCTCTTTCATTTTTTTGAGACGGAGGTTCGCTCTGTCACCCAGGCTGGAGTGCAGTGGCACAATCTCAGCTCACCACAACCTCCGCCTCCTGGGTTCAAGCGTTCTCCTGCCTCAGCCTCCTGAGTCGCTGGACGACAGGCGTGCACCACCATGCCCCACTAATTTTTGTATTTTTAGTAGAAATGGGGTTTCACCATGTTGGTCAGGCTGCTTTCGACCTCCTAACCTTGTGATTCACCTGCCTCAGCCTCCCAAAGTGCTGGGATTACAGGCGTGAGCCACTGCGCCTGACCCATTTTTTTTTTTTTTTTTTT